TGCATATTTTCTGAAATGTTATCCAAATTGGCACAAATTTAAAAAATTCAGAAATAGGGAAGTTGAGTTATTTAAGCCAAAGGAACAAATGTAAAATATGTGAAAGCAAAACAACATTCATTGATCCTTAAATTACACAAATTAGAAATTCTGGAGATACTTAAAAAAAGAATCTAAGTATTTTTCTCTTCTTCCTCTTGCATGCAAACTGACTAATTCAGTCACATAGAGAATAAAACGTTTCATTAGTATAAGGGTGACTGTTAGCTAACATTTCACCATGATGTTTCCCTTAAAAATATGGAGGCACCAAAGTTAAAATAAAATTCACATTTGTAGGAATTGTACAGCACTTTCCAAAAAACAAGTAACAGGAGCAGGTGGCCATGGCTGAAGTGAAAACTGAGGCAGTCAAAATAATAATGGAATTGGAACAGAGAGGTCAATGTCCCATCTGCATCTTCTAATTAAATATTCATATTCATAGCACTTGATTGCAGTTGTAAGAGTCTCTCAAGCATATAATAGAATTTCACTGAGCTGGAACCTATTGATTCAAATATTTTGGCATGCTAACAGTCAAACTTTTCAAGGTTATAATAAAACAAAGATATGTTCTGATACACATTTATTTTGACCCACTTGACTAACCACACTGTGGAGAGTGTACAAAGGTTTTAGAATGAGACCTTAAATAATCTATCATTTATTACTTATCAACTTGAGCAAGTTGCTTAAATCTCTGAGACTCAGTCACCTCAGCTGTAAAATACGGATAACAATGTTTATCATGAAAGGTTGCTTGAGGATTACCTAGCATGTACCTGGTATACAATAGATTTCAACAAATTTTATTTTCTAGTCCCTAACTCAAGCTATGAAAAAATTCATATACATGGAGAATGGAATCATTAGATTTTGAAAGTAGGTTAGCTTATTTGAAGTATACTCATTTTCCCCTTGACAAGAGGCATAATGTTCTTAAAATCATTTCAGGTGACTTTTAGTCTGGCAGTGACAGACTATAGGTATGATCACACTAAACTTAAGGAATGTCCAAGCAAATGACTTTGGGGGAATGACTTTCTGTCTCTGACATTTCTACTTCAGTAACTTTCTATTTCAGCATTGGACTTAGATAATAAAGATCTTTAAAAAGTTTTTTAATGGATTTTAAAGAGAAAGAGAGAGGGAGAGATAGAAAACATTGATAAGAGAGAAACATCAACATTGATTGGCTGCCTCCTGTATGCCCCTCACTGGGGATTGAGCCCACAACTTAGACGTGTGCCCTGACTGGGAATGACTGGGAATCGAACTGGTGACCTCATGGTGCATGGATTGATGCTCAACCACTAAGCCACACAGCCGCACAATAAAAATCTTTAATAGACTTTTTCTTGCTCTATGTGGTTTTTTTACTATTTTATAACTCATTTTATTTTTCTTGTTGCCAATATCTACTCATTTAATTGCACAACACATACATTTATACAACTACCAATATGTTTTATTGTTTATTTGAAGTTCATTTGTCTTCAATGTAACATAAGCTCTCTGGGGACAAGAACTTTGTCATTTTTGTTTTCACACACACTGTTTCTTCACTTGTAAAGAATAAGTGAACATATTTCTATGTTAAAGGAATAAGATAAATCACAATTTGTGATTTTGAAAGTAAAGAGAAAAATTAAATCTCATGGAAAAAGTTTCTTTTGGCTTGCTTCTACTTTATGTAATGCGGTTTTAAATTACTGGCTTAAATCACAATGATTTCAGTCATGTGCCACTTAATAATGGGGATATGTTCTGAGAAATGTGTCATTAGGCAATTCTGTCTTTGTACGAATACCATAGAATGCCTTTACACAAACGTAGGTGGTATAGCCTACTACACACCTAGGCTAGATGGTACAGCTTATTGCTCCTAGGCTACAAACTTATACGGCAGGTTACTGTACTGAATACTGTAGCCAATTTTAACACAATGGTAAGTATTTGTGTAACTAAACAAAAGATACAATAAACTAGAAAAGATACAATAAAATACAGTATATCTTTATTTCTTCAATATAAATTAACCTGGGCTTCCTATACCTTTTTTACTTTATAAACTTTTTAATATTTTTAAAATTTCAACTCTTTTGTAGTAACATTTGGCTTAAAGCACAATTGTACAAACATTTTCTTTCTTTACATCTTTATTCTATAAGTTTTTTCTATTTAAAAAACTTTTTATTTTTACTTTTTAACTTTTTGTTCAAAACTAAGACACAAATGTACACATTAGCCTAGACCAGGGGTTCTCAACCTGTGGGTCGCGACCCTTTGGGAGTCAAACGACCCTTTCACAGGGGTCGCCTAAATACATCCTGCATATCAGATATTTACATTACAATTCATAACAGTAGCAAAATTACAGTTATGAAGTAGCAACGAAAATAATTTTATGGTTGGGGGTCACCACAACATGAGGAACTGTATTAAAGGGTTGCGGCATTAGGAAGGTTGAGAACCACTGGCCTAGACCTACGCAGTATCAGTGTCATCAATACCACTGTCATCCACCTCCACCTCCACATCTTGTCCCACTGGAAGGTCTTCGGGGCAATAAAGTGCATGGAGCTGTCATGTCCTATGATAAGAATGCCTTCTGGAATACCTACTAAAGGACCTGCCTGAGGTGCTTCTTGAGGAAATAGGTCCATGGTCGTTTGCTTGGTTTGTTTCTTTTTTTCATCATAGATTTGCTTGTAAGCAGATAATGCACCATGATACCTTTCCTAAACTGCCACCATAGGATTCACATACTTTCGAGTCCTTTACCGTTAGCCAGTACTGTGACCTATGGTATTTTCGTAAATACAAAATTGCTTTCAGAAATTTTGTATTTACTAGTATTGTGAAGCTTTCTCTTTCTATTGGTGTTTTTGTCTGATTTAGGCCCCCAACTTCTCTCCCTCTTTTCCATATAGTTTTTCAAACCTCCCCAAGTCTAAAACATCAGATATAGTTCTGTTGGAATGTGGTGTTTATTTAGTATTAAAAAACAAGTTGAAATTCACAGTATTCTTTTTCTCCTAAGGCTGGAAGTGTGGGTTAAGTATGGCTTTATTTACATTATTTTTTTAAAATTTACATTATTTCTTAACCTGTTTGGTTTTCTGGGGAAATGAGTGGACATATTCTAACATAAGAGGCCACCATTATTCTAAAGCAACCTAGAAATCCCTCAGATATTTTTATTCCTATTGTTATTACTGATTATAATTATTGTATTTTATAAACATTCTTAACACACCCCAGGAAATAATGCAAAGTGCTAAGTTTGTGGACAAGTCTTTCTTTTGAAGAAAAATCAAGTAACTTTCTTAAAACATCATGATAGACAAACAGATTCAGAAATCAAAGTCTCTCTAACTAATCTAATTATGGTAGAATATGGCATGATACACTATAGCTTACAGTTTTGTCGTAATTAGAAGTATTTATGCTCATATATAAATAATACCTATCTTGTGCTAAAACAAAACAAAATTGTTTTTAGCTTAGAAAGTTATATAAAAGAAACAAACTAGAATAGAATTCACGTTCTTTGCTATTTTTGTCTTTATGATGATAATGCAATAACATGACAGTGATTTTCCCATCTTGAGTTATAGTAAAGTTCATTCATGCATCTATGCAACATTTATTGAGGACCACTAAATTGCCAAATAATAGGGATACAACTAAGACACAGTCCCTGCCTCACAGAAAGCAGAGGAATATGAGGGTTGCAGATGGTTAGATACATACAATGCAGTGTCCTTTACAAAAAGTCTAAAAATATGCAAACCATCTATATATAAAAAATCCTAATATACAGACCAAACAGCAGAACAACTGAACATACAGTCATTATGACATGCGCTGACCACCAGGGGGTGCGCACGGAACGTGGCGGGCGTTGGCCATGGCAGGATGGTGGAGCAGGTGAAAGGGGGTTGCCAGACCAAGGTGGGGTGTCAGTCGCTGTCATCAGGGAGAGCTTCTGGTTGTTACTGAAAATTCTTTGCTCCCTTGCGCCGCGGTCCCACCCGGCGCTTGCACTTGATGCCCGTGCCGGCCTCACTCACACCCGCTGCCAGCGCCTGATGCTGGTCCCATTGCTCGGTGCCATCAGTGGGTGCAAGTGGCAGCTGTCGGCCCCGCTCTTCCCTGAGGGCTTCTCCACCTCCCTCTGCTCCTGAGGGGCAATAGGGGCAGCAGCCGCCGCTCACACCACTGACGGCACCGGCCCTGCTTGCACCCACTGCTGGTACCAGCCCCAATAGCTCCATGCCATCAGCGGGTGCGAGCAGGGCCAGTGCCATCAGCACGTGGGAGCAGCGGGAGCAGGGCTACGGGCAGACAGGGGACTGGGGGCTGCAGTAGGAGGGGCCGGGCGGGGGCATGGAGATGGGCCAAGATCCGCCTCTGTGCCCACTGCAGCCTCACAGACCACAGTTCCTTTCAAGGTGCACGATTTCGTGCACTCGACCCCTAGTACTATACCACTATATACTTTTAACAATAGACATAAGTGTAGTATAAATATAAAAGCATGGAAAAATGATAATCAAATTAGTATAGTGGTTAACTCTGGTAGGTGAGCTGGGAGAATGAGGGGAATAAAATCAGGTAGGAAAACAAAGGAAGCTTCAATTTTATCTATAGTTTGTAGTTTATTTCTTTTAAAAAGAAAAAGTAAGATCTGAAACAAATATTGCAAAGTGCTAAGATCTGACAAAGCTCCATAATAAGAGACATGGATATATTTGTTATATTTTCCCTATTCTTCTGTATGCTTGAAATATTTTATGATTTTAAAAAAATGCATTCAATTCACTGGCAAGATTTATGGAGTTTTAATTCATAACAACAATTTAATAACACAAAATTGAGAACCAATATTAGGAATGAATGAGAAAAACAGCCTGAACACTGTATATTATTTTTAGATTAAGTGTTATACATACCTGTAAGTGCTAAATAAGCAGCAATGTACCGCTTTTCCAGTCCATCTCTAACACTCTGAATTGCACCAAAAATTGGAGGTATAATCATAATCAGGTTACTCACTGTATTCCCTATAGAAGAAAAGCACGAGAAGATAATTAAGTTAACCAATACTACTTTAAATAAAGATATATTCACTTGGCCATTAATAAACATTAAAGAGATAACTTCTCAGAAAGATGGTGGAATGATATTTACAAGGTGCTAAAAGAAAATTTTCTACTCAACAAAAATTTCTTATAAGAACCTTAGTAGGCCCTGGCTGGTTTGGCTCAGTGGATTGAGCGTCGACCTATGGACCAAAGGGTCACAGGTTCAATTCCAGTCAAGGGCACATACCTTCACTGCAGTCTCCTTCCCGGCCTGGGCCCTGGTGGGGAACCAATGTTGTGCAGGAGGCAACCAATCGATATGGTTCTCTCACATCAACATTTCTCTCTGTCTTTCCCTCTCTCTCTCTAAAAGATCAAGAAAAAAAATATTCAAAGGTGAGGATTAACAAAAAAACAACAACAACAAAAAAAACCCAAGTAAAATAAAGATACCTTCAGACAAATGAAACTAAGAATTGTCAACCTGAATATCTACTAAAGAAAATCGTAAATTCTAAGGTAAAATAAAAAAGTGTCTCAGGCCGAAACCGGTTTGGCTCAGTGGATAGAGCGTCGGCCTGCGGACTGAAGGGTCCCAGGTTCGATTCCGGTCAAGGGCATGTACCTGGGTTGCGGGCACATCCCCAGTAGGAGATGTGCAGGAGGCAGCTGATCGATGTTTCTCTCTCATCGATGTTTCTAACTCTCTATCTCTCTCTCTTCCTCTCTGTAAAAAATCAATAAAATATATTTTTAAAAAAAAAGTGTCTCAGAAAAAAACCTCAAAGATACAGCAAAAAATGGGTTGGAGAAGGCAGCCTACACCAATGCCATGGAAAGGGTGGTCCATGGATATAGTATGACAAGATGAAATACAGGGTTGAGTTAATTTTGTCTGCTGAATCAAATACTAACAAATAATGATTTGCATTTTGCACTTCTTTTTAAAATTTCATTTTTGTAGTAATGTTTTTAGTTTCTAGTAAAACATGAAAGGCAACGAATCTTAATCTGATCTCTGTTTTTGTTTTTTTAATATGTTTTTTTTAATTGATTTTAGAGAGAGAAAGGAAGGGAGAGAGGAGAGAAACATCGATGAACAGCTGCTTCCCGTATGTACCGTGCCAGGTAATAAACCTGAAACCTGGCATATGCCATGCCAGGAATGGAACTCATGACAATGCTCACCCAATTGAGTCACACCAGCCAGGGCATGTGCCCGGACTGGGAATCGAATCATGACCTCCCAGTTCATAGGTCAATGCTTAATCACTGAGCCTACACTGGCCAGGGCTGTTCCTTTTTCTTTACAAAACCAAACTCAAACCATTAGCAAAGAAACCAACAAAAAACCCCAACAGCAGCCGTAGCCGGTTTGGCTCCAGTGGATAGAGCGCCGGCCTGCGGACTGAAAGGTCCCAGGTTCGATTCCCGGTCAAGGGCATATACCGTGGTTGCGGGCACATCCCCAGTAGGGGTGTGCAGGAGGCAGCTGATCGATGTTTCTCTCTCATCGATGTTTCTAACTTTCTATCCCTCTCCCTTCCTCTCTGTAAAAAAATCAATAAAATATATATTTAAAAAAAAAACCCAAGAGCAGAAATAAATAGTAAAATGGAGAAATAAATAGCTAAACTATTTTATAAATTTATTCCGGGTAAAATAAAATGGCACAATACATTCAAAATTTCAAATAAATGAATTTCAACATTGAAGCTGATATTACGTAAGACATATATCAGTTAATGGACATATACAGAACACTCTACCCTACAACAACAGCGTATAAGTTCTTCTCAAGTGCACATGGAACATTTTCCAGGGTAGATCATATATTAGGCCATAAATTAAGTCTCAAGAGGCTTAAAAAGATAGATACCATATAAAGTATCTCCTCCAACCACAATAAAATGAAGTTAGAAATAAATAACAGAAGAAAAACTGGAAATTTTCACAAACTTATGGAAATTAAACAACAACCAATAGATCAAAGAAGAAATCTCAAGGGAAATTAGAAAATACTTAGAGATTAATTAAAATGAACACACAACATAACATTAATGAAATGCAACAAAAGCAGTGCTAAAGGGAAAATTTATAGCTATAAACACTCAGATAAAAAACAAGGATCTTTAAGCTGATCTGAAAGAATGTTACTTACTAACATGAAAATATACAACACACTGGTAAAGGTAAATATATAGCCAAATTCAGAACTGTAATATGATGGTGTATACTAGCAGTCACTCTAGCAATAAAGGTAAAAGGAAAAAAATATTAAAAATAACTAAAGTTACAATAATTTGTGAATGAACACACAATAAAAACAGGTAAATTGTATTATCAAAAACCTAAAAGGGGAGAATAAAAGGTAGAGTTTTAGTATTGGGAACTATCAGCGTGAAAGAGACTGTTATATGTAAGCCTCATGGCAACCACAACGCAAAAACCTATAGGAGATACCCAAAAAATTAAGAGAAGGGAAGCAAAGCCTACCACTACAGAAAATCATCAATTCACAAAGGAACACAGCAGGAGAGAAAGGAACAAGAGAACTACAAAACAGCCAGAAAGGCATTAGTAATCCACAGTAGGCTATTCATAAATACTCTAGCCCTGGCTGGTTTGGCTCAGTGGATAGAGCGTCAGCCTGTGGATTGAAGAGTCCCAGGTTTGATTCTGGTCAAGGGTATATGCCTAGGCTGTGGGCTTGATCCCCAGTAGGGGATGTGCAGGAGGCAGCCAATCAATGATTCTCTCTCATCACTGATGTTTCTCTCTCTCTTTCCCTCTCCCTTCTTCTCTGAAATCAATACAGATATATTTTTAAAAAATAATTACTCTAAATGTAAATGGTTAAGTCTCCAAGAGATTCACTTCAGCTTCAAGGACACACATAGGCTCAAAGAGAAGTGATGAAAAAAGATATTCCGCGCAAGTGAAAAAAAATCAAAAGAGAGCAAGGATAGTTACTCTTTTTATCAGACTTTAAGCCAAGAGGCAAAGATCATTATGTAATAACGAAGGGTCAATTCATCAAGAGAATATAGCGATTGTAAATATACATGCACCCAACATCAAATGTTGGCAAGGGTATCTGTAGAGAAAGTGAAATCATTGTGCATTGTTGATGGGAATGTAAAGAGGTACAGTCACTATGGAAAACAGTATGGAGGTTCCTAAAAAAATTAAAAATGGAACTACAATCTAATCAAGCAATTCCACCTCTTGGTATATATCCAAAGGAAGTGAAAATAGGATCTCCTTAGTTAAGTTTATTCCTAGGTATCTTAATTTTTTTGATGCAATGGCAAATGGGATTGCTTTTTTAGTCTCTCTTTCAGTAACTTCACTATTGGTGTATAGAAATGCCATAGATTTCTTGGCATTCATTTTGTATCCTGCTACATTGCCAAATTCATTTATTAAGTCTAATAATTTTTTGATGGAGTCTTTAGGGTTTTTTATGTACAGTATAGATTTCTTGGCATTAATTTTGTATCCTGCTACATTGCCGAATTCATTTATTAAATCTAATAATTTTTTGATGGAGTCTTTAGGGTTTTCTATGTACAGTATCATGTCATTTGCAAATAAGGACATTTTACTTCTTCTTTTCCAATTTGGATGCCTTTTATTTCTTCTTCTTGTTTGATCACAATGGCTAGTACTTCCAGTACTATGTCGAACAGGAGTGGTGAGAGTGGGCATCCCTGTCTTGTTCCTGTTCTTAGGGGAAAGGGTTTTAGTTTTTGCCCATTGAGTATGATGTTGGCTGTGGGTTTGTTATATATGGCTTTTATTATGTTGAGGTATGATCCGTCTATTCCCACCTTGCTGAGAGTTTTTATCAAGAAAGGGTGCTGGATTTTGTCAAATGCTTTTTCTGCATCAATTGATATGACTATGTGATTTTTATCTCTCAATTTGTTTATGTAATGCTGGATCCGATTTGCTAGAATTTTGTTGAGGATTTTGGCATCTGTGTTCATGAGGGATATTGGCCTATAATTCTCTTGCATTGTGTTGTCTTTATCTGGTTTTGGTATTAGGGTAATGTTGGCTTCATAGAATGAACTTGGAAGTGTTCCTTCCTCTTGAATTTTTTGGAATAGTCTGAGGAGGATAGGTTTTAGTTCTTCCTTGAATGTTTGGTAAAACTTCCCTGTGAAGCCGTCTGGCCCTGGGCTTTTGTTTGCTGGAAGCTATTTGATTACTGCTTCAATTTCTTCCATAGTTATTGGCCTATTGAGATTTTTAGATTTTTTCTGATTGAGTTTTGGAAGGTTGTATTTTTCTAGGAATATGTCCATTTCCTCCAGGTTGTCTAGTTTGTTGGAATAGAGTTGTTCATAGTACTTTTTAACAATCCTTTGTATTTCTGTGGGATCTGTTGTTATTTCGCCTCTTTGATTTCTGATTTTGTTTATTTGGGTCCTTTCTCTTTGCTTCTTGGTGAGCCTGGATAGAGGTTCATCAATCTTATTTATCCTTTCAAAGAACCAGCTCTTGGTTTCATTGATCTTTTGTATTGTGTTTTTTTTTTTGGTCTCCCATTTACCATCACACCAAAAAAACTAAGATACCTAGGAATAAACTTAACTAAGGAGGTAAAAGACCTGTACACGGAAAACTACAGAACACTGAAAAAAGAGATAGAGGAAGATATAAACAGATGGAAGAACATACCATGTTTATGGATTAGTAGAATCAACATCATTAAAATGTCCATACTACTCAAAGCAATCTATAAATTCAATGCACTCCCCATTAAAATACCAATGGCATATTTCACAGACCTAGAACGAACTCTCCAAAAATTCATCTGGAATAAAAAAAGACCCCGAATAGCTGCAGCAATCCTGAGAAAGAAGAACAAAGTAGGAGGGATCTCAATATCAGATATCAAGCTGTATTACAAAGCCATTGTTCTCAAAACAGGCACAAGAACAGACATATAGATCAATGGAATCGAATAG